GATTTTACTGTGATATATTCTTACCTGAAAGAACCATGTTTAAATAGAGCCAGCACAGGTTCAAAACAATAAACGCGCGAACACAATGGTAAGACGAGCGACCTCTTATGCTCGTAATTTTAAATTAATTTCAGGCGTTTAGTGTGTATGCTGACTGTGGATATATTTTGTGGTCTATTTCTAGTGTTTCGAAAATATATTCGCTGCATTTAAGCAATTAGCCTTTGTTTAAGCTCAGTCTGCTTTAGGGCTAGAGTGAGCCCTGATTTGCGTCGGCATTACAGTTTTCTAGGACTATGTACGTAAAATTACTTCGACAGTGGTCAGCCAATACGTGGAGAATTAGTACAGCATTCCACAGATTTATATAGTCCTGCCGATTTTTAACTATTAACTCAATATCTCTGAGGTTCTTCATTTTTTGTGCTTTATGATGGTTTCCTTATCAGCGGCATCCTTCGCAGTAACGCAGACAACAATGGTTCAATCGTTTTCAGTGGAGTATGAAGAAATTACTGTCATATGCGTACCTTCATTTGAAGGACAATAACAAATGTAAAACTTTTATTGTAGACTCTCTCTGCTTACCGAGAGCACAAAAACCTGCACACGTGCCATATACGGGCAGCCAGGCGCCATCCACATTGAGCTGCGACGTTACGGTCGCAGTCAGGAGGCCGCTTGGAGTCTGTAGTTTTAGAATGAAAAAGAGAAAAAGATTTGTCATTGTAAATATCTTGTATAATATGTTTGAATTTAAAATTACATCGAAAGTAAATAGAACAAAATCGGTTGTATTCAGAAAGTGATTTTGTCTAGCATTCACTTTAAAAACGGCCGAAATGAGGCCCATTCGAAAGCCGGCATCCTAGCGTGAGGAATCTACGCTGACTTTGTGTTACATGATAATCGATATTGCAACGCCAGGTAGATAATCTTTTAGTATTAAAAATAAATTTCGGTTTTTTTAACTTTACGTTTCCTGAGATAGCTTTTGTAGATTCGTCTTCGATCTGTGGGCGTCATAGTTCGATGACCTGATGTTACTGACTTCTGCAAGGAAGCACGTCAACCAAGGTCCTCATGCGTGAGCGAATGGCCAACCTTAGAGAACAGTATACGGACGGGTTCCTTGACAATGATAATGATCTGTCGATTGGTTACCAGTGTCAGCATTTCTTTTTCATCCGTTTCTCTCCCTCTGGACTGTCTAGACTTCATCAGAAACCGTTTTATTAGCGGACATGCCAGATCTTCCGCATTTTGTCTGCTCTTATAATTATAAAATTACAAGATTAAAAATGTTTGAAGACAAATGCAAAAAGGCGAAAACAAACCGATGACGTACCGCTGCTGCGTAGACCAGACCGTAAATTGTGGCAAAGTTGTCTGGTCCAAACAGTGTACCCGTGGCTCCAGGCAGAATGACAAAGTTCCCCGCCAGCGTGAAGAAGAGTAAAAACACCCAGATTGCGAACAGATACATACCGGCAGCACCGGCGGCAACAAAGGGGAATGAACTAAACAGAACTATCCATATGAAAAGAAACGTCAGCATTGGGCACTGAAATGAAAAAAACGATAATGCCCACTGCGCGTGAAATAAATGTAGTGTTTTTTTAATCAAATCTGAACAATAAAATAAATAAAACAAATTGAGAAAGTGCTTGCTTATGGGTAGTTTTGCATGATATTCCTTGGCGAAGGTTTTGAATTTATTTCACTCGATTTTTCGAAAATGAAACGTACGATATACTTCGTAGAAATCCAGGTTTGCGTGTAAAGACGAAAGAAAAACTTAAATATTTGAATACCTTTCATAAATGTACGACCTGTTGTGGCACTGCAAAGCACTTTCCTTTAAATATAAATCAATTGACCTGAACTTAAGACTTAGACACTCTGTTTTACCCCGTCAAAAAGTGCAGATAGGTGAAACAGCTATTTTGCGCACATTCTTTTCATATATTGTGCAGTTTTATATAACGATAATGCACTAAAGCTGGTACAGATAGTAACGACCTTCCTCTGAACATGCACAATGTAGTTACTGACTTTCAAAAACAGTGGACTTTCACATATTCTCAACGACTGATGTGTGGATTGTATTAAAGTGGGAGTGTGGCCGGTTTGGCGGTCAACAATGTAGGCCATAAACAGAATAGTCCTAATCGGCCTCGTAAAAAAAGGTTTTCGGTTATAACGGCACGCACCGACACGGAATAGGCAGTGCACTGATCCAGTGTGATGCAACCGCTCACTGATCCCCAGATGTAAGTTTAAGATCAGTTGACCAAATTGTGAAAAATTCGCCATCTCGGTTGGATTCGAACCCATACAGCAGGGAAGGCTTTCTTACACTCCACGCTCTACCATTTAATTAAAAAGGCATGATTATAATTTAGCTTACGGCCACAGTCTATTTTTTAAACCATATAGAGCTTTTCCACTCGAGGTCTGCAAAGCATTGTTATTCCTCTTAACTGCCCTTACCTCAATCCCATTAAAAATACTATTCAGTTAATCAAGAGAAACTGGGATAAGGTATAGGAAAACTCCTACATTTTTTGAGTTTTGGTTAATTATTTTATGGAAGTAATCCAAACAGCTTTTCTGCAACTGTTTCCGTTGCTGGATTTAAGAGAAATTCCAACGTGTCAAGATAACAAACACCATGTTCCGGTGGGCGCATATTATTTTTCTCGAGTTGAGGAAGAAGGATCTTTCCCATTTTATAGCACCTTTACGCACTCAAGGATGATTGAAAAAAATAAAACGACCTTTATTTATTTTATTTTTTAATGCTACCTTATTTGCTTTGTCTGTCATAGCAGGCCGGCCATATGACCCTTTTTTGTTTTGCCACTTTTCGAGAAAATAAATAGTTCTTGGTTAATACAGTTTACTTTAAAAAGCAAACTATGCGTTCTGATTAAGATTTGCGGGGTTTGGGATAAAAGGTTTGCGCGCTTTAAGGTTTTTTGTGTAAACTGTAAGATTTTGCAGCAAATAGAATGGTGCTGTGATCGCATGGTATAAGTTTGCTATGTTTATGTCGGTAAATTCGATCAATAAAGTCCCCTAGACTTGAGAACAGTGTTCAAAAGGCCATGCATATTGATACGCAGGCTTACCTTATATGAAAATCGATCAACTATGAGTCCCCACATGACGCGGCCGAAGCAATTGAAGACAGAACTGCCAATGACGACTCCGGAAAGAAAGCTGTCCTTTAGCTGATTTTCAAGACCATACAGCTTACCAAAATAAAAAAAGCATTTTTTAATTTTCTTTTGAAAAAATGTGCATACTGAACATTTCATAATTAACTACATTTGGTTAGACGGTCAAGGTAAGCAGATAAATTTTCACACTATATGTTCTAGAAAATATATGTTTTGTCACCATAGCAGAACTGTGCAGCTAGGTCAAAGACTAATCGTGATCGCTTCATATTGAGCGATGGAAAAATATATAGTTATCTAGTCAATAGCGTATATATGCCCCTTTTAAATAATTAAATAAATCTTCATGAGAAAGGTCTACTAAACTCTTCAATCAGCTGTTTACAGGGTCTATCTGTCCGTGTAAACTTCCCACTAAGAGCGTTTTTTAAGTTCCCATTTTGCATAACGAGTATTTATTTAGCCATTTGTTTGAAAGTCAAGCTACTGCGAGGTTAAAATATGGATTCGAATACAATTACACTAGATGTTTTCATTCAAAAGCATATGCAACTATTTATAACAAGTATATGGAATTAAGTCGTGCTCCAGATATATGTATTCTGGTAGTGGTTAACTTGTCAATTTTTCCTGGCAGAACAATTTGCAGGGATATTTTGGCGTTTTCTAACGCCAAAAAACCATAATTTCTGAAAATGTTTAACCCTGCATGCTAAACATTTTATTGGTCCACTCACCTTATATGTTGATGTCAACAGAACCACGGCAACAATATCACAGAACGAAACAGTGAACAATATGTAAAAATCGATGCATTTTAGTGCGTCCTTCACTGAGTAGCTGGTTACTTCTAGTTTCGGTAAAACAACTTCTTCATTTTGTTCCCTAAATAAGATAAAAGAGTTAGTTGGGCTACCGAACGTCATATTTTATTATTGATTTTTTTAAAAGTTAGGCATACGTGCTGTTGTTATCCACAGAGTTGTCCTCCTCAGGTTTTTCAAGTTCCGAGGAACTGCTTTAAGGAAAGACACAAAAAATAAACCATGATGGAACGTAACTCTGATACAGTGTTTGATAAATTTCTGGTTCTTACCTGCTGGACTCTCCATCTTCCTTGTTTTCATTCTGAAATGCACATTAGATTGTGCCGAATCTAAAAGTTATGCGTATTTTGCGAAAACAATTCAAATGCATGAAAAATAAGGAGATAAATTAATTACTTACATCGGGACAAGTTCTCAAAAGGATTAATCCGATCACTTGAAATGCCGCAGTGATTCCTCCGAGGATGAGAAATGCGTTTGGAATGCGTTCTTGAACTTCATCGGGATACTTTCTAATAGTTAGAAAATAGCGTTTATTTTATAGGGCATATTATGCACACAGTTTAAGTGTAAACGTTTAACACATACCCTGCTACTGGCTGCAGATCATTGGGATTTATTACTTTGGTTTGGATGGGTGTAAATACAAGAGCTCCCAAACCCAGACCTGATGCAATTATTCCGACAACTGTATTTCTTTTTCCGGGAAACCACTGAAATATAGAGGACAGATGTAAAAATTTACCCAGAAGAACATAATACTTCAGATAAACCAAGAATTCAGCTTAATTAAATACAATAGGACTTACAGATGACGCGACTGCAAATATGACAGAATAGGGAAATCCCATACCAAGTCCAAACAAAATACAGTAAGTAAAAATATACGCTCCCAAGCCAACATTCACCGTCAGTCGCGTTAGCAGAATACCTCCGCTGAAAAGATATAAAGTTAAAATTTTTATAAATGGCAATTGATTGTGATAGCGCATTCATCAAAAATATAAAGAACATCTGTCACTATAGTAGGCTTTCAAAGCAATTTTATCCGTAATTATTATACATTTAGCTTACTTTTTTTGCTAATTAAGTGGCGTAGTAAATTGCGCTTAAACGCTTATGTGAATACGTATTAGGTCCCTTGCAATCATTATTGAAAGTAACTAAATTTTGAAGAACATAACACTACAACACCAACTGGGGGCCCCTTTTAAATAAAGGGCCTGGTGCTGGCAAGTTAAACGACGCGTCCATGGAATCATATTTACAAAATGTTTATCTGTTAAATAGTCTTCTTATTCTGCATTAAACTAACGAAAAGTTTCGAGTTAAAAATAACTGAACCTCATAAACAAACTACTTACAACAGTGAATTTTGTAAACGTCTGCTATGTTGTCTCGTTTCTATTTCGAAATTCAGTATGTTAGATAAAAAATTTGATTTGAATCCCAATATATCTAAAATACTTATTGACCATTTAATATATGTTATAAGGGGTATTTTAAAAATGCCACACATTGTTAGCCATAATTCGAGATATCTGATGTGATTTTGAGCGTATTTCGAGAATTTAGCAATGAATGTACCTGGACAACAGAATTCCTATGAGAAGCACTAGCCTGTATCCAATTTTCTGCGCCACAACTCCACCAGTTGGTAGGGATATTGCTTGAAAGGCAAGGATGACAGAAGAGAACCAAGCGCTTTGACTTTTAGTTATTCCCATGTACGAAATCACGTACGAATTCATATTTCCTGCAAAGTTCATTTCAAAAATGCTTTCCTGTTTAACACGGTTATTAACGTCCAAAATGTAACTATAAATTATTTGTATGCATTTTTATATATATATATATATACGATATATATACGATGTATATATATATAAACGATTGCAAATTGTATATATTTTATAATGTATACATTTGCATCAAAATGTGTCAAAACATTATTTGCAGAATAACCGCAAAAAGTTTTCCAACAATTCTTACCGACTGTGTAATAGTAACCAAGGGAAAGATGATAAAGAAATCCCCCTATAACACTCAGAACTCCCCATATAGGAATCATGATTTTAAAAGGTGCTAACAATAACCCGCTAGGTCGTATATATAATGGCTAAACAGTAAAACAAAATCGCGTGATATAGAACAAGGCCGATCATCAAAATGGATGATTATTCGCGCTGTTTATGCAATAAGAAAAGACTGTTTTTGCATTATGTAATGATAAACCTATGTTGGAAACAATTTTACCGGCGCGGTTTGCCTTTTTATGCCACTGCCGTTTCAAGAGAAGTATAGCAGATCTATTCGTGTAAAGGTGTGTTAGGAAGAGGATACTTGTTTTAAAGTGCACAGCAGGTTATTCTCCAAATGTCTTTCCTCAATAAACAATACCAATCCATGTTCTCTTGCCGCAACTTCATCTGTGGATCAACCTTTCTTCTTTCCTATAAAGCAGGATATCTATAGGAGTTAAGGTTAAAACGATTAACCCTAACACCTACAATCTTCGAGGCCCTGGTTCCATAGGTGATGGGAGAAGTCTTGGGAAGGTCAGAGTAGAAGGAATAGTTTATTGTGTACACAATGGAACGGAGAATAGATGGAAGAAGTCTGACTTGGGCAGTCACGTCTATAGGAGTTAAGGTCAAGACGGTTAACCCTAACACCTACAATCATTCAGGCCCTGTTTCCTTACGAGTTTGGAGAGAAGACGGTAAAAAGGCGAGAGTAGACGGAACAGTTTATTGTTTACAGAAGAGTCCGGGGAAAGTTGCTAGTCCGTCCGGCATGGTTGTTTGGCCGGAGGGCGCATGAGCGCGCGGCCTCTAAACCGTCTCGCTCAGAGCCGATTTACAAGTGTCCTTTTGCGGCCTTGATCGAGCATGGCCGGAAAGGTCCACTTTGTCTAGATCTTGTGATGGTGATTGGTTGAGCATGAGACGCACAGGCGCTTGCGTGCAAGGAAGGTTAGTAAAGGATAGGGAAGGAGGTACGTACCAATGGCAGGGTTCAAACAGCTGGTTTTCGTGTGGTTGA